CCATACGAGTCATAAAAATTAAACCCACTTTACAAAATTTTGGTCACCCTGCAGCATTCTTGCTAGTCCGTTACTCAGTATGAAACCATTTCACTTGCTTGAATTTCATGACCCAACTGCCCATACGTATTGCGCTGCCAGTGCGTCTTCCAGCCTCTGCAGCTGATTTGTGCGGAGCTATGCGTGATTGCAAACCACTGCGCAACCGCCGCAAGCTCATGAATAATTCAGAAGCATCAGCGTCTCGCGGCCGGCCTACTTCGGGTTGGGTTTCATGGATGATGTTACTGCCATCAGTACCCGACACATTTCAATATAGTTGCCCATCTTCTAAAGCCCGGTGGAAAAGGCTCAGTTGATGAGCAGATACTGAAAGGAGGCAGATGCAAGCTCGCATTGTCTTTCCTCGATTAATAAACATTTGGAGGACATCGCAATGTGAAACAAGCGTACTAGCTAGCTAAGAATACTGTTTCATTTGACTAGCACGGAATGTCAGAAACGAGCCGTAGTTTTATGGTGAACAGCTGACAGGTTTCACAAGAATGCTTTTTGCATTTCAAACCATTGCAACCAAATCATTGCTCGATAAAATATTGCAAGTGATTCGTGGAGCGACTGCGTCATGTACCAGGAGTTGCAGGTTCGACCTCTGGGCCTTGATCACCCATTTCCTGTTTACGGAGTGCTTCGACGAGGTGTTATGATCATCGAAGGGATAGCTGTTGGGAATATCGCCTCCGGAATATCGTCGCCGTCCGCCGCGCTGGCGTGTACTGGAGGTTTCGACCCAGTAGCTGTTCAGCCACCATTCAGTGTCAGGAGCTCTGAGATAGATCTTACTCCGGCCACTCTTATGTTGTGCCTCCGCGGATTCTTTCGATCCCCGACAAACCCTCGTGAGGTAGTGCAAACAATGATATTAGTTTTACTTCGGCTGCCGTGTCCGCGGAATGCGTTTATTTGGCTTCTGGACAATGAAGTCTTTGGGCATCCACTCCTGCAAAATCACTTGGTGAGGTGACTGATTTCTCCCTTCCTGTTTGCGTCATCATCGCTGATGGTATTTGTGCGATGTTGCAGGCATCTTGTGGTGCATTTCTTGACAGCGCACGGGTGGTGTGACTGGAAGTTCTGGTGGCGACCGGCTGCTGTTGATTTCTAGTACACAGATGTCCTGGACCTGTTGTTGGTTCTCTCGACTTGTTCGTCTAGGAATGGTCGGCGGCTTTGGTTTCGATGCTTCATAATGAACTGGATGGTCGCAATGGATGGTCGCAGACCTTTGATGGGGTCGACGAAACTCGTTATGTGTTCTTAGAATTAGCTGGAAAATAGCTTGTCTGCATACTAACACGCCAGATAAGGGCGATGAGCTGAGCACTCACCCACTCCGTTAGACGAATTCCAGTTCCTGCTTTCTGTGAATGCTTAGCGGTCGTTGTGTACCTGTGCATCGGTTTGTTCTTAAAGTTGTGGCGACGCGTTGACGAAGGTACAGGTGATTTAATGGACCTTGGACTAAATGAATGAACAATATGCTCGTCTAATACACGTGACTATATAACGATACCAACCGACCCTTTTCATCACCTTGAGTGTCCAGAAACCATGAAGTCATGGCAACCATGACAGCCACAACATCCATGACAGTCATGACACAAGCCGACGGAGCTGCCACCGCGAGGCTGTCCAGTACATGCCACGCGCTTGCCTTTGACAACATACCGGAAGGTGGGCTAGGACTGGTTCTGCTCGCAACTGGGAAGCGCTTAGCCAGGCTGGGGGCCGCATCTGTCGAAGTTTTCAGTCCCTGCGGCATGACGTGCTGCCAGATCATGGCCAGATCACCGTCACGAAGAGGGAAATCGGTAAGCTGCTATGCACCGCAAGCCCAGTCAAATCAGCTTCACAGAGGAACTCTAACGCCGCTGTTCTCCGATGACCTTGGCTCTTGCTAGAGCCGACGCAGGCTTTTGACCGGTTTGCCAGCTATGGAACATGGAGGCGTTGACCGGTCGGTACCGGCTGACGTTGGTGGCTTTTTTCTGCGGCCTGCTTGGTCACCTCGAACGCATTGAATTCGGCAGTCGTGGCCAAAGGTTTGGCCTATGTCTGTGTCTATGAAAAACGGGAGTGTTGCTGAAATTTGTATGCATTTCATACTTAATCATACACATTTAAGGGCATCAGCCATGTTACTATAATTACGCCATGTTTGGTACACGATCACTTTAAACATAAGCCATGAAGTGCCATTAAATACAAAAGAGAACGCCAGTGGCATGCAACAAGATCTTGTGCCACAAACTTTGCCCTTTCCACCGCAGTTCCTATGGCCATGCTGTGCCACTTAGCGTGCTTTCGGCTACCTATTTCTCCGGGTTTATTGGTTAACAAACAGAGGGTGCCGATAGTGTAGTGGTTAGCATTAACAACAGCATGCCTGGGAATCCAGAGGCACGGGTTCGATTCTCCGCGGTGCCCGCCTTTCCTGCCAGGGTGAGAAGCAGGCGACGCCATGTGCCTCAGCAGCTGATCGTCGTAGAGTTCCATGATATGATATGGCTATTTCTCCGTGTTTCTCAAACTTTTGCTGCTAAATTCGCACACATTTTGCGACAGGGTGCGGCCTATGGCAGATCTCAGTGTCAAATGGGATCTTGCCCTATACCATAGCCGGTGTTTGAGCGGGCGGTAATGGTGGCCGAGGTGCAGAAAGGATGAATTTGAACACATTTACTCGTTCCTGAAAGCAGCTCTTGTCCTTCCCTTCTTCATCCAAATACAGAAGACGCGCACATTTACTCAAACGTAAGCTTCGATATATTGCCTAGGGAGCTCGGTGCTATGCACAACATCTACATACGCGTGCTGTGCATAAGGCGCTCAGCCAGGGATGCGGAAAATAGGGAGGAGAGCCCCCGTCACTCGTCACCAGCCGGGAAAGGACCGGGGGGGGGGGGGGGGGGGGGGGAGCGTGTGAGTCTGCCAACATTCGGAAAAGTCAACATTAGCGCTATAGCATATAACTGGCCCCAGCCAACGCCCATAGCTAGTCTATGGGCGTTGACTAGCAAGAGCTAGCCAAAAATAGACATCACCATTTCCTCGTTCAGTCATCACCATCACCAGCCACCATTAGTCACCGCCAGCCATCACCGTCGCTGTCACCTCCTGAAGGCGTGCAGTGACCTTGACCCACAGACCGGAACCCAGGCATTTCCGGTCGGTGACGCCTGGTGCGCCACGCCACCTCACACCCGGTCGTAACCCCCGCACTGACCTGTTTACCGGCGATTCCAGCCTAATGGGTCGGCTCCCGCGCCGCCGGGGCGGGGCGTCGCCTGGGATCCACGCCTAGATCCGGGAGTGGTTTAAACCCAGATCCGGGAGTGACGCATGTCCAATTATGCCCGCTGGCTGCGTTGCATACGGGGCCGTTGCTGGCCACAGCCTAACGCACCCAAAGTACGAGCTTGTTAAGCGAGCTGCGTGTTAAAGAACGCACTGATCAAAGAAACCAACTTGGAAAGAAAGTGGGCTTCCGATATTTTGCGACGGTTCTTGATAAACCATGCATATTAAACCCAGCGGTTTCCGAAAGAGTGTCGCGGCAGCGTGACAGCACACCAGCTGTGTGGCTAACGTTGCACCGCAGACTCTCATTATAACACAGACGGCATCCAACGCGTCATCTGCAAGTCGGCGCCAGGCTCGATATCTAAAACCCCGTCTGACGTCTGTCGGCCGCCGCTATACCGG